TGATGCTTGCATTGAACGAAGAAAACAAATTACAGACTTTGTTCTGGTTTGCTCCGTCTTCCCAGTGAAAGCTACATGCAGTTCAAAGGTAACGCTCCACCTCCTCGCCTGGCCTCAGTTCTTGCTTTCATCCTTGAAGTACTTCAGAGAACCCAGAGCACTGAACTATGTGACATTGACTTAGTTCTCCCAGCCGTGTTGAAATGCCTGGTATTGGTCAACGAGCCCCAAGGTGAGCTGCTTGTTTGCTTTAAATAGATCTCTGCACGCCGGTGTTGGTGAGCATCATTCATCCCAGTGTTTAAGACTCTTAGATGAGGTGACTGAGATACTTTGGCCAGATAAACTGGACATGCTTTCTTTTTTCATTAACTGGTCTGGGACTTCTGCCTCTGAGAGAGAGAAGTCCTACCTCGTTTTGCTCTCTAGTGAACTAATGATCAACTTCTCAGGAATCTGGAGAGCATTTCTTTTCTCCCCATCCTTTTCATCTCATTTCTTTCAGGCTTGGTAACTGGAAGTTTTCTTGCACCTAAAGGTTTGAGACCAAGTAAAACTAGCATTTGTTCTCCCCGTAGAGGCATAATAAATGGATTAAAAGTAGCATGTTGCTCTCTGAAGGCATCTTTGAGTCTTCTTTCTTCTTTTAGCATGGTTTGTTTGGTAGTGAGAACTTCTTTATTTTTAGCTTCTTAAAAAACGAAGCACTCTGTTCACCCCACAGTTGTATAATGAATGTGCATGTGTGCATAAGCTCAAAATTTCCACTTCTTGCTGCCAGTAGAGGCATTAAGCGAAAAGGGGATTCACCTCTGACCTCTCCTGGGAATTTTGTCTTACAGAGTACTTTTTGATTGTGGTCTGTAAAAGTTTCAAGGACAAGATATGCTTAGGAAATTGGCTGAATCATCGCACACCTTTCTTCCCCCTTTTGCCATCATAGCCATATCTGCCTGAAGCTGAGCGTACCTGCTCTGCAATGTGCTGTGGAGCAGAACGAGCTGAATGTCTTGGGCTGCTGTAGTCACCAGCTCATTGCCTGCCTAGACAGGGCTCCACCACACCCTTGTAGAAAAGTCCTTGCAGCCCAGTGCCACCTTTATAAAGGAAGAGCTGTATCTTGCGACTTGAATATTTATTTGGAAACAATTAAGGGGAAGTTTATGGGTTTTCTTTCCCATTGAAGAAGAGGTAGAGTGGAATTCAGAACAATTACCCACCACTGAAAGTAAGGAGTAGATCTCTATAACTTTGGGCAGGGTATAATGCCTACTTTTTTTTTTAATTCAAATAGCAATGATTAAAGAATATAAACAGAACTTATATTTAAATAGAATCTCTGTTTCCACTGTGTGTCTCTTTGCTTTGACTTAGACACCATCGTGTACTTAAAAGTCTATATGTTTAAAGGACAATGGCAGTGAAAAGAAGACTTGCATAAATCTGTAATTCATTCTGTTCTTTATAGCCAGCCTAACTAACTGCTCTTACAGTCGTTTCCCTTGCATCAAAGTAAGATAAAACCGTTTTTTTTCTCATTTAAAAATTTTAGTCTTCATGAAAGACATTCTCCAGATGGTCAGTTCAAGAGCTCTGTGTGAATCTTGTGATTTTTCTTTTACAGTTAAAAAAATATCTACAGACATTGTGCAGTACATGGTAGAAGGCTGCCAAGCAGGGTCAGGAGGAGAACATGCCACCCAGCTGACTTCTGTATTTAGGTAACCAGAAAATATGCCAACTGGCAGAGAAGCTACCGCAAGCCAATTGACAGCAAACATGTTTTTTTAAAACAACTAATTATCCTTAACATACTGCATTGTCCCTTGTTTATGGTATTTAAATAATGGTACTTTTGGCACTGGTTTTAAGCATAGCTTGGCCAAAAAGCCAGAGCAGAAAAGTAGGAGAGAAACATACCTGCTTTCTGATGGATTAGGTACCGTTTTGAAAGGTATATAATAGAGGGGTACGTTGCTGCTGCAATGGGCAAAACGCCTCATGAAGGGGGATGGTCGGTGCTGGGTGCTGAGAGAGATGTGGGTGCCTAATTTGAAGTCTATGGGATGGGGAACAAATCCTCATACAACAAGCTTAGCTTTTGGGTTTTGATTGATTTGATTTTATGACAAATAATAGATTATTATAATGTACATTATACTTATTGGGTACCTCTGCGAAGTGAATCCTGTTTCTCACAGGGGTACAGCAGGAGAGCTGCATGACCTGTGAGACCTGGAGACATTTTGCAAACCTAAACACCGGTGCTGTATTGGCTCCTGTCTGGATGAAAGCTCCAGAGAGACTCACTGAAATAAGGACGGATGTTTGTGGGCCTGCCAGTCTCCCTGTACATGATACATCACTTTCACAGGATGTTTCATCCCCTGGGGTGTTACTTCTGATTCGAATGTAGTCTGTGATCTTTAAAGGCCTCAAACCCTCAGGAAGACAAATGGGTGCATCTCCACCCAGTGGTCTGCCCTGCTTAAGGTCCAGTGGAGCTTTATCAGAAATGCCAACGTTATTTCTGCAGACTTGAATCTAGATCTCTTGTTTTGCTGCTCTTCTTCTTAAAATTCTTATTTTTTTTATTAAATAATAAATACATCTTTTAGTTTTGCATTTGGACGCATTACAAAGTAAAGCACTTTGGAACAAGTCAGCCCTGGTGAAACAGCAGCAGAATCTGACCGTTGGCTTAAAAATAAATGGGTGGGATTTTTAGCATTAGCCTTCAAAAGCATGGCTTCATTTAGAGAAAGTATTCCATGTGGAGTATTTCAGTGTAGCAATATGAAAATTGCCATGCAGCCAGATTGCTTGTTCTGATTAGACTCTTCAGTTGTTCTTGGCATGTTCTCTGCATCTAGTTTTGACCTTGCATTAAATGCTTCTGTGTCCCCCTCAGGCAGTTTATCCAGGACTATACTGCCGTGTATGATCACCGGGTTTTCAGCATACTAGAAACAGTGGCAGTCTTGGATCAGACGTTTGTTACCAGCCTGATTCCCACAATCACACAGTCTCTGAAGGATTCAGAGCACAAACAAGGTCTTGGAAGAAACGCTGCACAGAGGTTTGATTTTTATTTAATATTGGTTTTGACAATGAGCAGTAGAGGTTTATCCTCTTGAAAGAAAGCAATGTTAGACAGCAGCACAGGTACTCAGAAATGAGTGATTTTTTTTAGAAATCTCCCTTCGCTCAGGCCTTTCATGGGTTTAAGCCATCTGTATTTGCTAAATATTTTCAGAGATGTTTTGGCACTAGGGCTACAAACCCCCGCAGAATTTATGTGAAGCCAGGTTGCCTCTGCTCACTACACTCTATACTGCAAAGCAGAATAAAGAAGAATTCCTAAAAACCTGTCAGTCCCTGTTTTAGAGGACTCTATGGGTCATAGCTAAAATTACGGTATAATCAGGTATGATCTGAGATGCTTGGAAGAGAAATACCCTTGGCTTAATTTCCAGAGTTCTCTCATCGTACAATCCTGTGAGAGCTGTGGGCATCCAGAAAAGGCTGGCCTCCCCTCTCCGATAGCACAGCAGGCGCACACTTGCTCCCTTTGCCCCATAAGAGCTTCGGACAGAAATACTTGACTTGCAAGTCCACCCAGCGCTGGGGGGGGAGAGGGCTCGTGAGGCGAGCAGCTCCGCGCAGGCGGTGGCGTCCCTGGGCGCGGGTGCAGCGGCGAACCGTCGGCACCTCTATGAACGCTGTTACGCGGCCCCGGGAAGCTCTGCCCCGTGTGGCACCCGAGCTTTCCGAAAAGGCCCCCTCTGCTAGTTCTGCTCCCTGGTCCTTGACCCTCGCATGGCCTGGGCACGGAACGGGCCTCAGCGTTTGCAGTAATGCACACGGTGGGACTACTCGGAGGGTGGGAGCCTTGTCACGCCTTAGGCTGGGGAAGTTTTGAGGTCCACGTCAGCAGGGCCTGGGCTGTAGAAAACCCACGAGACAGAGCTGTGCAAGAGTGTAACTCATGAGACAGTAAATGATAGTAGCAGGGTATTAATTTTGCATTTAATGAAAAAATATATTTAACTCATTTGTAATTATATTATTCCATTTTTATTTTCTTCTATCAACAAATAAATTTGCTTTTATTTAAGAGAATTCACCCAAGGTCAGACAGAAGCACCGTTACATGGAAGATTTTCGTCCTGTTTGCTTTTGATCATGTATTTCCTGGCCAATTTTCTTTTTTTTTTTTTAATAGTGTTAATAAGGTAAAATTCATCTGTTTACCTACAAAATATGGAAAAAAAAAAAAAAGGCAGGTTGTTTGAGCTTCCCGAAATACACGCTTGGAGATTACTGAAGAGCTGAATTCCTTTTAGCCTCATCACTTAACATATACATTATCTAATCTGTTGTTGGTATTTTGTATTAATAATTTGTATTTAGAATGTGTGCCATTACCCAGCCATCTAAGGGGATCCATAAATATTTTATTGTAATAAAGTCTCTTCAGTCCTGGGCACTAAATAACATTATATTAACATATTCTGCGCAATTATTTTAGACATTAAACTGCAAACCCGTGTATATATATGAGAGAAACAAAGTTCAGAAGTTGCATTAGATGCTCTTAGTGGTGATGTGCAGTATTATTATTGGAAGGAACTAGTACGAAAACTGCAGTTTTGTTTGCTCAAGTCAATATTTCATGAAAAAGATACATAATTAGAACAGACCTACATGTCAGAGGCACTACTTTAACAGTAATTACGTTGTTTAGGTTGGAGAGTATTAGAATGAACTTCAGGTGAAAAGTCTTGCCGATGCATACGCACTCTGCTGGAAATCCCACTTGAGTGACAGTCCCCCTCTGAATTCCAGGTTTACTGTAAAACAGTCACTGCCCTTTGTTGAGGGTGACGGTCTGAATCCGTGTCTGTGCCAGTCGGCACCCTAGTGCCCGTGGCTCACATCGCTGTGCTGTAGCAGGAGTCACAGAGAGGTTTCTTACACAGAAATCCGATGACAGCAAAACTTGATGAAGTCTGTGCGCCAGCCTCATCTGAGCCTTGGAAACTCCATGTAAAAAAAAAATTAAAAAAATTAAAAAATCTGTTTCACAGCATTTTACTAAACAAGTAGACTTCTAAGCATCTTCACTACACTTGTAGCCATAAATGATGCAATCCTGATTCTTCTTCCAGCCTGGCCACGCTAAAAATTCACAGCAAAGTGGTTGAGTAGATGGGGTGGGGGGAGGGAGGAGGAGAAAGTTACTGTGTTTTAGTATCCCAACATGTAAACAGTGTGTTTGGGAATTGTGTGCTTTTACTCCCAGGATGTGTGAGATTAAGTAACGTGTTACATTGTTTTGTTTTCAACAGAGAAGCCTATAAAAGACTCTTATCTCACCTCACAGAGGCTGGACAACATGAGATACAAAAGCTGGAAAATGAGACAGGTTAGCGGCGCGCTGGTGATTAATCCTTCCCTCTTGAACGTTCTGCCACCGTCGATACCTGAAACGGCGCTCTGCGGCACAAGCCAAGTTCGTTTTCTTTGCCACGGCAATACATTTATCAGTTCTGTGGGGTGCTTTTCCCCCCGGGTTATGTATTACTCTCAGTGATTTCTGTGGTATTTGAATATCGTCATGCATCTGAAGAGTAACTCTCAACATACTGTCGAATGGCGATGGAAAGGTACAGCACGTTTACTACGTGTTGAAATGTCTGTATGAGCAGCGCCTGTGTTGCAACACAGGAGGCAGGATTTCAAAGAATCAACGTAATTTCACAACTCTGTTAACACTGAGTGAGACCTGACCCTCTTAACACTCTTGTAATTTTGAAAAATCTTATTCAGTATGTTCTTAAGAAAACCGTAACTTCGTAATTTCTAATTTATTATTTTAGTAGAATGAGGAAAAAACCGTGATCTCTATTACTGACCTGGTTGGATGCAGGGCATTCACCAGGAGTTGCACCAGTATGACCGAGCTCTCCTTTGTTAAGAGAGGGCTCGTGTTTATGTTGCACAAAATGTTCATAGCTGTCTTAACCTTCCACCTGTATTAAACCATTAAAGTCTTTCAGATTCCGGTGTAAAATCTCTTCTGTTGTCTTTGTGGGTAATGTAAGAAAAGGTAGGCTCAGATTTCCTGTCTGTCCTCTTCCCTTTCAATACTGTGTTCTTAAAATTAACCCATAATTGCCTGTGATCCCGTGATCTTTTTATTAGTCGTGACACTGTTTATTATCTGACTTAGACCAGGTGTAAATGGTGTGAGAAAAGAGAAGAGAGGACAGACTTCTAAAAAAAGAAAAACTAATCTGGGGAATTTATTCCATTTGATCATAGGCTGGTAATTATTCCTGTTTGCCCGGAGAGTTGGATCTTCCAAATATTTTGCTGTGTTATAGATTATCTTTTGGGTCTTTCTAGGACAGGTCTAGCTCAGTAACTTTTTCTACTTTTTTTTTTTTTTTCCTGAAGTTCTCGGGAAACTTTCAGTAATGGCTGTGCTATTCACATTTTTCACTTCCCTTGATAATCTGTATTTTGCGACTACTTACGGGACTCTGGGAGCAGTAAGTTTGCCCTTAATGGCAACACGGGCAGCTTACTTTTAAAGTTATTCAAATTTTAACTTTACGATATTAATGGGAAGGAAAGATTATTTTTGTGTCTAATAGCTCCACAAAAATCCCTAAAATCTTGTTACAGCTTCTCTTTTGTTACAGTAATCTTACCGAGTCAAACTAGATCATCTTTTTGCCTAAATCGGCTGTCGTTGCTTCAGGTAATGCAGTAACTACAGTAACTAAAAGCCTCTTTGGGCTACTTAATAGTGCAGAACATGGAGGTTCTTTTCATTACGGAAGTGACTTATTGAACTTGCATTGTAGCTTCGTGTAAGCTTCTGTACCTGGGAGGAGTTTTATTCATCACAGGAGGATCGTACTTCTAAACAGCTCTTTTAATAAAAAAATAAATTAAAAAAAAAAAAAAAGAACCTAAGACAGATTGAGATGTCTTCGAAATTTGAGTCCTACCACCCAGTAACTTGCAGAACAGTTGTCTGACTGTAGTATTACTTCCTGAAAGTAAAACCCTTGATTTTTAAAGGATAGAGCAGATATTGTAACACTTAATGATGTGTTTAGTACGTTGTGAAAGGCATATTTAATACCCTCTGTAGTGGCTGGAAGTTTCTGAAAAAGCAACAGGGCCTTATGTAAATGCAAAGCAGCTCCTGGTGCATGAGAAACTAATTTAAACAGTTTGGAAATTATCATTCTTCTCTGTCAAAAAGTTAATGCGAACAGAAATAAAACGTTTTGCATCGTATTCATCAACCACTGCCAAATGGGCAGTCTGGTTTGGTCTAATTATTTGGTGTGGACATTGGCAGATGTGACTGACAGCTCTGATAATATTAATGAGATGAAGGCTTGCAGAGGGTTAGTCTAGACTGCCTCCCCAAGTATACACCAAAGCAACAGTCCAAAATCAGTTAGAAAAGAAGAAAGTGCTGAATTTAAGTAGGATATAGAAAAATTAAAGACTGAAGAGCCCCATAAACTAAAAGAAATTATTTCTATCGTCTTATTAGCTGCTCTCTGTATAAAGGCTACTTAGGACACTGAACATTATTTAAATTAAACCTTTTTGTATTATTTTACATACGAACAGGTTGGTTTGAAAACAGGACAAATATCTAGCTTCCTTATACAACGCATGGAGAACTGTTTAAGCTGAAGAGCAGGAGGTGCTGGAAAGCTTGTACACCGGTTGCTGCCACTGACTGGAGCAGTTTGTCTCCATATAGATGCAACATCTGTCTCCTCCCTTTGCTTAATAAACATATTATTTATATGTTTAATAGAATATAACACAGTTACATGTTTAATATAATATAAAAATATTATTTGCTTAATAAATAAGGATAGAGCCTTGCTGTAAATCGGGTAAAGAGGAGATCTGAAAATAAGGCTTCCACCTACTGGCGAGTGGTATCCTTAGCCTCTGTCAGAGGAAAGGAACTCATCCCCTGCCAAGCTTGCCTTCCTTTTCTCCCTCCACCAAAGATTCGTCCCCGAGGCTGAAATTGGTGGCTGTGTGCTGAGGCGCCTGTACGGGGACCCTGTATGCAGAGCAGGAAGAGTGTGACAGCTCAGCGGTGAGTTCTGCCAGGGAGCCATAGCCTGGAGGCGTGGAGCTTGGCTCCCGGGCAGCTGAAAACATCATCTTAGGGGTTATCCAGCAGATACTTAATGTGCAGTGACTTTGGACAGCAGCCAACAAGACTTTTGAGCAATTCCCTGATGCTGAAGTTACTTATACGTCTTCCTTCGGGGTAGTTTTCCCGCCAGTGGGTGTATAGGTGGGTAGTAAGCATTTTAACTGTGAACCAGAACCAGTAGGTGCTTCTGCTACTACCAGCAAGTCATATACCAAACTCAGAGGCTCACTGAGACATCGCCACCTCTGCATCGTGGGTGTTGGGACAGGCAGTTTCAGACATCTGTTTCCAAGTTTGTATAGGGAGAACTCCAGGGAGCATCTGGACAGAAGTTCGCTGCAGATCACAGCGGGAAGATGCGTCACTGCCTTGCCCGGCTTTACAGTTTCTGGAGTCTTTGTTTCTCAGAAGCAATGGACACTGAGTCACCAAAAGCTTCTACCACTGCTGGGCAGGTGTCTTTCTCCGCTGATCCCATTTGCAGGATGATCTGCTCAACTCTACGTGATAAAGATCAGATGCCTGTTTTCCACTCAATCGCAGGTGAGTATCACAGCAGAGCTATTAAGCAAGGCTTCCGTGAGGCTGTGACATGGTTGTGGATTACAGGAAGAGGATCATGCCTCAAATCTGTGATGACTTCCAAGCACCTCCCCTATGGAGAGAGCTGCGGCTGTTCAGCCTGGAGAAGAGAAGGCTCCAGGGAGACCTTATAGCTGCCTTCCAGTGCTTAAAGGGGGCTACAGGAAAGGTGTGGGCAATCTTTTTAGCAGGGCCTGTTGCAATAGGACAAGGAGTTATGGCTTTAAACTAAAAGAGGGCAGATTTAGGCTAGATATAAGGAAGACAGTTTTTACAGTGAGGGTGGTGAAACACTGGAACAGGCTGCCCAGGGTGGAAGCCCCATCCCTGGAAACATTCCAGGTCAGGTTGGACGGGGCTCTGAGCAACCTGATCCAGCTGAAGATGTCCCTGCTCACTGCAGGGGCATTGGACTAGATGGTCTTTGGGGGGTCCCTTCCAGCCCAGACTGTTCTAAGATTTACAGACCTTGTTGATATATTTGCTTCTATGTTCAAACACTATATAATGAAAAGTTGGTGGTATTATGCCATTTTGAACATTAATTAATTAATTAATTACTGTAAGTATGGGATCACCGTATGTCAATGGAGTTTTAACAAAATCTTAAATTTCAGTAAGCTTTTTCTGCCCCCAACCCTGGTGCATGGTCTGTGCCCGCCCTCTCCTTTCGTTTAGAAACACTAAGAATGTTGACAGGAGGCCTGTTCAAAGCACAGCAGGGGTGAGCCTTGTGAGCGCTTTCTACGCTGATCTCATTGGCCAGAGGGCTGTTCCAGGCTGTAAGAGGACTACTCTGCCCTTTTCTTTTTGCAATATAAAGAACTGAGAGCTGAATAGGAAGTATTTCATTTTTATATTTTCCCTATCCCAGAATTCAGGATACCCATCACCTCTGACCCATTATCAGCCTTGTGATATGAAACAGATGTCCAGCGCATCGTGAGCAATGGCAGGGAGAGGGAAGACTGGCTTATCTTTCCTTTAGTAACCTTAAAATGATAACTGAAAAAAAAAAAAGACACCTTCTGTTCAAAATTCACATGCAGCTGCCATTAGTCCCACAAAGCTGTCCCTCTATTTTATAAAAATTTCCCATTTGTTATTGTTATTAGAGAGCAGGACATGGTAATTTAAATTACTCCTTGCTTTCATTTTCAATGACAAAAAAAAATAGGGGGGAGGGGGAGGCACTTGTTTCAATAAAAGAGCTTCTGAAATAGAAAAATTTATGCCTTTCACGCTGGAATAGAGCAGCAGACCTATGCAAAGAACAAGGTTCTGCATATCTGTTGGAATTGCCCAGAAGAGGAGCTGACAGTAGCATGCACTACTTACGGAGTCCTTTAAGGAACTTTGATAACTGTCCACCTAAATGCAATGTATTTCCCTCAGGAAACAGGATTTATTGCCCTCTGTTTTCCCTTCTTTCAGTAGCTTCTGAAAATTATGTATGCATGGGTATTTTCAGTTTAATCATATTTTATAATTTTTAACTATTACTTAAAGCTCAAATTCAGTGTAATCAGCCCATCTGTTACCAATGTTAGAAAATTATGTTGAAGATTAAAAATCTGATGCAGTGTCAATATGTCCAAGCATAATTAAGCTTGTTTTACGATGAATGACTAGAATATGGCTTTTGTCTACTTCAGCGGCTTTAAAACGGCAAACCTTTTGTAGACTTAATGTACGAAACGTGAAGGTACATATAGAAGTAAAAAAAAAAAATAATTAAAAAAAACCCCCTCAGATCCTCCATTCAGAGATGTGAAGTCTTTGCAGGCCCTGGGAAATGCCAGCAGAGTGAGTGCACATCTCGACCAAATTCACAGCCTTTTTGAGTCCATCAGACACCCTCTTGGATCTGCTCTCCTCCCTGTAGAATGTCACCCAAACAGGCATAAAAAATACAAGTTTGCTAAATTCATTAGTCCTCTTAGAAAGAGCCAACATCACCTGTGTGGGCACTGGTGGAACGATTGGCACGGCAATCACTCACATGAATTGAAAATTGCTAAAAACGCTTACTCTGTTCTTCAGTACTTGAGGCGTTGCCACACAGCCTCCCCTACTCCAGTAAGAGTTAACATTTTAAGTGTTTTAATGCTGCCATTACGGTGAAACAACTATATATAATCATCTCTATTGGAAAACCATTCTTCATGTGGACGCTTCTTTTCCATTTAAAATGTGTCCTTGGCGGGTGGGGGGGGCGGGGGGAACACGACACAACACAAAATGTTTTGCAAAAATAAAACTGTATAAGCCCTTTATATAGTCGTACGTGCTAAACTTCCTGCAAAGTCTTCCTCCTTTGCAAACTCTGCCTACAGATGAAGCGTTTTAACCTTGCCCTCTTAATTTATTCTACATTCTAATTTTCAATAAACAGATGCCGCCTCTTTTCGCGCTTGTTTCCACATTGTTCCACATTCTGCCTGTGTTGTTTCTGCATGTGTGAATATTCAATTATCTGTTTCTCCATGATTCTGCAACTGATGTACTAAGTGTCTGTACAGGTTTGGGGAAGGGTAACCAGGGAAGGCAAAACTTTGAGGAAAAACAGTTACAGAAGTTTGAACTATTCTGAGAGTCAGGTACTCTCCCTGAAAGCTGTGAAGTTAAGAAGGAAAATCACAAGCCCCAACGAGAAAGGCAAGGATTACAAAACCACTAGCACACAGCAGCAGATTGACACGTCAGTATTTCTTTAGTCGGCACTTGGGTGTGAAACACTCAATAGAGACCAAAGGGGCAGAAGCAGCTGTTGGTGCTGCCGCTTCTGGAAATCGTGTTTTTTTTTGTTTGTTTGTTTTTTTTTGGATAAAAAGCATAAAGCAGCTGATTGCTGTTATGGTTATTTATAGCTCAGAAGAGCTGATACCACATCTGAGGACTCAAAAGGTGAAGTACGCTATGGAAGGGATGAAACATCACTCTGTATGGGAACGGCCCAAACAAGGAGACCAGGGGACAGCTCTTCAGTACAGCTCTCAAGAGCTTGCGGCCCAAAGGCCTAGTTGCAGACAGAAGTAGCTCTAATCTGTAAATCTAAGGAATTCAGGGCACAGAACTGCATTGGTTTACAAACTCGAGAGTTAGTAACCGCTGCTGCATTGTTCGCTCGTGAGGACACCTCCCTCCTGAAGCACTGGGGAGTTCTGACCGGTTGCAGCCTGCGCCATTACTGTGCACGCTTCCCCGCTGGGGACCCGAGCGACTTGTGTCGGCAGCTGCTCTCAGGCCGTGCTGCTCTGGCGCTAGGAACAGAACTATCGAGCGTGGAAACATTCTTACTACAGACAACTTTAAGGCTTTCTGGAACAACCGAGCTAAACTGCATTGCAGAGGTACCCACCAAAACCGGTGGGCTGGGTAGGGGCAAAGGCTGAGTTCAGAGGTTTGCGTTTGCCAAAAACGGTACCAAATTTAGAACCGAAGCCCGCAACTGGTGCCGTTTCAGAAGCCAGGACGCTAAATGCCAAGATGGCAGAGCAAGGACATGCTGATTGAGAAGCTTCAGCTCGCTGGGCAGCCTGTGCCGGCAGGGG